TTCCCCATTAACCCCTTCCCTGCTACAGGTGGTACCAGACCGCCCCAGTCCATCAGCGAGGACTGGCCTGGTGTGCCCAGGAAAGTGGATGCAGCCATGACTGGCCGGATCTACATCTCAGGCTCAGCTCCCCGCTCCTCCTTGACCAAGAGCACTAAGTCTAAGCGTCGCAACCGTAAACGCTACCGATCACGCCGTGGCCGCGCCGGTGGCCACAGCCCCAACTCCCACCGGAAATCCCGTTCAATCTGGCTGTCCTTGTTCTCCAGTGAGGAGAGTGGCCTGGGAACCTACAACTATGATTACGGCATGGACTGGCTTGTGCCTCCCAAATGTGAGCCCATCCAGAGCGTCTACTTCTTCTCAGGAGGTAGGAGCCCCTGCCACCCCTGTAGCGGGTTCAGCAGTGGCCCGCCCTGCTTGCTCTCTCTAGTTCCCATTAGCTGAACTCGGCCCTTGAGCAGTGACTCCGGAAAGCCAGGCCAGGAGTCCTGGCCTGCATTGTGATGTTCACTTACCCTTCCAGGGGAGACCGGGTTTTAGGGCAGGCGTGGGCAGGGCCAGGCTGGGTCTCACTCACTCTCCCCCAACCTCTCTTCCAGACGAGTACTACCGAGTCAACCTTCGCACACAGCGAGTGGACACTGTAAGCCCTCCCTACCCACGGAACATCGCCCAGTACTGGCTGGGCTGCCCAGCCCCTGATCACCAGTAGGAGTCGGAGCCCATATATCTGGGCCCTCCGCTGCTTCCTCCTCTAACCTCCTCCTCCCAGCTCAATAAAGATCCCTTGGCGCTGAGTTTAAGATTACTGTCCTGACTGGGGTAGACAGGAAGGAGGCAAGGCTCTGCCTGGGTAAGGGAGGCGAAGCTGGGCTGTTAGGGTGGCTTGGAGAGAAGAGCCTTCCTCTGTCCAGCCCATGTTTGGCTCAGGGCCTCCTAATGAACCACAAAGCTGTGGGCTGGAGAAGGCCTCGTGGGTGATAGGCCTCCTCCTGAGCTAAGCAGCCTCCAACAACCCACCAGTAGCTAAGCAGGAGCTCTGATGATGATAGGAGTCACCAAGCACCCCCTCTCAGCCCTGGGCTTGCTTTACCTCTTGGAGTTGACCCCTAGGGTCTTGGAGGACAGAGAAGGGGTGAAGGGGATGGGCTTCTGGTTCAGTTTTCTGGTCATCTTGAGCCTGAAATGTGGTTATCTCAGACACCTGAGTCCCTAGGGAACTGGTCATTGGTGACCCCCTAGTGACCCCTAGTGA